CTTGTTTGTGTAATTGTAATGCAGCAAAACAAAGATTACAATGCTTTTCTTTTAATGAGCATACATGTTGCTTAAAAACCGTATGCCTATACTGCTAAAATGAACTCTATACTGCGGCTTCTTAATTCAGAAGAAAATGTACTACGTACAAATAGAGACATTTTTTTAATCCAGATAGCCAAGTATTATTGTGACAACCTCCGCCATGTTTAAAATGTGCTTGCTGCTCCACTGTTGTTCATTCTGGGTATGGTCTTTATATGCCATATACACTAACTGCACAAATGGCCAACTGAGCAGATGATTTATAAATCATCTCCTAAGTGTGACAACACACTCCTAACGTACATGTATGAAATAATATGGTAAATTGCTCAACTGCACTCTCTCTACAAAGCATTTTATCTACAAATGCCCACAGTATGAATAATCAGCCCAACAATTTCAGGTTGCCTCCCTGAAACCTATGTAGTCACTGAATAGTCTGATTGCTTACAATATAGCAGGAGTCCCCAACCCCCGGGCCGTGGACCGGTACCGGTCTGTGGCCTGTTAGGAAATGGGCCACGGGCAGTCTTCTCAGCAGTCCTCCACCTGCTGCACTTCTTTTTTTCCTCCGCACCTCTGGCCTGACTGAGTTGTGACCTCGGGGACAGAGAGAACTCTAGTAAACTAAAACTTCCAGTCCCCAGGTCAGGTGCTCCCACATCCATTCCTGAAAAAAGTCACCTCTCCCTGCTGAGCTGATAGGAGAGAGGAGACTACTTTTCCTTTTTCGACTGCTGTGGAGGAATATCGGTGCTGTGGCTGCCGATAATTAGCTTGTAGTTCCGAACTTCACATGGCCATGCATGTGCAGATTGATCCAATCCTACATCAGTCCACCTGCCAGTGATGCCACCTGCTTGCCGAAACTAAGAAAAAAAGAAGCTCTCAGCGGCCAGTCTCCCTGTCTTACTCTACATAGATACACACTAACAAAAGAAGAACCCTAAGAATGTTTTTAAAGCATGTAACTTAAAATTGCTGTATGCTGTAATTGCAGTGTATATTGCTGGCAGGCCTGGCTAGAATTTTTAGTCCTGGATGGTTTTATATTGCATCACTGTGTCTATTGATGAGATTTATAGTTCTGTATAGCTGATGGTATTATTTTGCATCGCTGTATTGATGCGATTTGTAGTCCTGTATAGCTGATGGTATTTTGCATCACTGTGTGTATTGATGGGATTTGGGGGTTATATTTGGGGATTTGGGATATTTCATTATATATTGCAATGTAATAATATTAGAAATAAAGTGCACAATAAAAATCTATGACTAAGCCCTGATGATGAAACACATAAGAGGATGATTCATGGGATTCTAGTATCACAATGTGTTATGGTGATTGTAAATAAACCTTTGAATTTGGAGAAGACTCATACAGATTGCGGTTGAATCCTTAACGTAGAGGTGCACAATAAATGTGCTTGAACTATCTGGAAACCTGCAACCCCCCACGTCCAACCCATCACCTCCACTAACATCCCCCCTCCGCCCCAAACCCGGTCTGTGGAAACATTTTCTTCCACAAAACAGGTCCCTGGTGCCAAAAAGGTTGGGGACCGCTGCTATACAGTATCAGAGACAGCTTTTATAAAGCTTTTTTGTTACTGATTAGAAGGTTAAAGAAGGTACAAACATGGTTGTATATGGTTAGAATAACAAAAAAATAATGATGAGAGCTTCACTGATGAAAGCAGGATGGGTTCTAATGTAAGCCACCATTGTGTTACTATTGTGTTAAAGTAGAACTCCAGATAAAAATGTTCAGTTTTGGACAGTATAAGAAAGATTTAAAACTTAAGATGTTTTATTGTCCTCTATGTGCCTTTTAGGGAGATTTCTCCTCACCTTCTGACCTGGTGACTGGGGCTGCAGCTAACAATTATTTTCATAATTGATTAGTTAGCTGATTATCAATTTTGAATAATCAGATAAAATAAAAAAAAACATTAATACCGTCATGTATTTAAAATAAAATACACAAATGCAGCGTTACAGACAAAGTTTACTTCAGAATAAAACGGCATGCACATATTTTGAAATCGCACTGCACAACTGGAACGCAGGGCGGTGCAGTACCGCGTGTTCCAGAGCGGGTGATCACACTGCGGACGGGGGGAGCATTTAGGATCCATTGTAATGAATGGCCCTGCAATGCACAACCTGCAGCAAAATTTCACAGGCCGAAACTGAAAATGACTTTTCCCACCTTTTATATACAGAATTACCAAAAAACTGGCTAATAATAAATGTTTCCTAACATAATGTAAAAAAATATATTTTCTGTAATTTTTCCTAATTATAGTAAAAAATAAAAACCCCAGTGGTGTTTAAATACCACCAAAATAAAGCTCTATCTGTCCCAAAAAAATAGTATAAAATTCATTTCAGTACAGCGTTGCATGACGGAATAAATGTCAATCAAAGTACCGCTGAATACTGAAAAATAGCCTGGCCAGGAAGGGGGTCTAAACACCTGGTCTTGAAGTGGTTAAATAATTGTATGCATTATATTAGACATTTTTATTAGTTTCATGGATTTAAATTAATGTGAATTGTAAAACTCTAAGTCAATATAATTAAATATCTAACCCTTTATTTAAAACAACACACCAACATTTTTTTTTCTATATAACATTTTTATTCATTTAACTTTCTTTCCTTTTAAAAAAAAACGTTTTTAGTCTTTCTAATTTTAGTTTATTTAACTTTATTTTTTTTAACTTAATTGCTGGGAGCAATAGCCAGCCTGCTGTTGGATATTTTAAATTGCAATAGCCAATAACAGGCTGGCTATTGCACCTACCCACTGCCTGCTGTCAATCAGCAGAGGAGGGACCTGATGGAGAAAGTTTTAAATAACAGTAAATAATTCACCATATATGCATCACTCATAAAACATAACAAAACACATTTTAAATATTCCCTTTTTACAGAAAAAAAATATTAACCTAGAGTGGAATAGATATTTATATTTTCTATCGCTTTAGTAATGTCACATGACAGAGGTTCAGACTAAAATGAAAAATGCCCATGTGGCCTAGGCAATTGACAATACTAGCCTACCATTACACATAATCAGTCATCTCTGTAAGGGCTCTTCTTTGTAGGCTGAGTCTCAGGAAAGGCTCTGTGGTTTGAGCAATTAGCATGCTAGGCAAACTTGGCAGTCAGTTATACAGCAGTTTCACATGATAACTTAACATGATGACAATCACTAACATAGGCCTGCGGTACACAAACACATGCTAGGTAGGCCCTGGAAGCCCTATTACTAAATATGTTAGGGAAATTATTGGTTAAGGAAATGCTGTGGGCTAGAAAAACTCTAAGCTGTTTTGTTAATAACAGTCACAGAGATTATTTACACTGCCCACTATGTTATTCAAAAACACTTACGGTCGCACGCAATCTGTAAACTGGGCATGTTGGGTATTGTTTTACTCGTTGTAACCTCATCTTTTATATTTCATTTAAAAAAATGGGTAATTTGTTGTGTTTTGGGGCATTTAATTAAATTTGTCACTAAATTTTGGGGTTTAATAAGGAGTTGCGCTAATATTGCGCAACATAAAAATTTTCAACTACCACCATTTTATTCTATAGGGTCTTGGCATTCAGAAAATATATAATGTTGGGGGGTTTTACGTCATTTTCAGGCCTAAAATGTGGAATATAACATGGGTGCAAAAATTGAAAAAAGGGCCTCAGTCATGAAGGGGTTAAGCTGAGAAAATGAAAACGTAGTGTTCTCAATTGCATAAACATAACCTTCATATGTGAAAAGTACAGTTTTAACATGTTATAGTTCTGCAGGGCCTATCAACAAAAAGAGCTTTGAACAAAAATATTCAATATTTATATAAAAGAGCAGTACTTAAATTACCCCACTACAGCTATTATCTGCTGCTTGCTATGTTTTGTAGTTATGGAGTTTCAGTTCTATATCTAACAGATAGTCTACCATTTGTAAACACATCTTTTTGATGTTTCTGCCAACATCCTGGCAACAAAGCAGTGCCATTTCAAATAAGCTAATTAACTTAATTGTTGATGAAGCATGAAACAGTTCATTCACCCTGTTAACAGCACCATGACAACACAAGATCTTCAGCCTGTGAAGTTACTCATCTAGGAAAAAAAAACCTCTAGCAGTTCATTTTTATATATATTTGTCCTGTGTGAATTTTGTATATTTGAAGATGTAAATTACTGAGTCCACCAAAACACACAAAAAGCATGAACCGACCAAAAGATGCCAGATAAGGACTTTACAGGTGTAAAGTTGTATTATTCCCAATGAAATACTAACTTGCATACCTTATAAGAACATTTTGTATATGCATGTAATAAAGAAGCCTAAAATTTCTGAACTAGAACTTTATCACAATATGCTGAACAAAAAAGTATACCCAATAGCAATTACTGCACGGGGAACCACGCTGGTCACTATTCCTACACCATACATGTTGCAATTGACCTGTATGGAAGTAATTTGATAACTGACAAATATGGCATAGCAAAGCTTAAATAAGTGTATCAATAGAGTCCCTATTTATCAGTTTTACCAGTATAAACAAACTTTAAAATTTAATGGCTTTAGATTGCAGCTGCACTTTCAGCCTGTCATGCATGCATCCTGCCATAAAGGTATGCTTCCCTCTCTACCAACTTCCTTTTCCTTGTCAGCAAATTCAGTCTGAAAGGTGGGAAAATTTAATTCGGTTTAATTTGAATTCCAGGTAAAAAAGTGAAAATTTGGGGAAAGGGTCAACAAAGGACATTTCAAAAATGTAGCAGATTGAGGACCTAAATGCAATCCAATAATGAGTGCATGTAGGAAAATATATACATATTACATAAAAGCTTATATTTGTGCAAAACTGACTTTCTTAAAAAAATATATTTTGATTGCATTATCACTTCTCATGAAAATGTGAAATCTAACCTACTTTAAAAATTGTCCAAAATCTTCACAGATGTTTTCACAGCCCGGCCATTTGCAGACACCATGACCATAGAGGGTATGTGTAGCCCCAGTCTCTTCAAGTGATGAGCTGTAGTAGAAAGAACATAGCATCCCATTAATCTCAAAAGCCATAATCGTTGGCGGCTGCTAGCACCTGTCAGGTTACAATCGCTGACAAACAGGTCAAAATAGGTCAATTCAGCTCAGAGCAGTCAGAAAAAATTTAATCGTTCTATTGAATAGTTCAACTGCCAAGGCAGGATGATGTTCCAATTAGGGAAGAAATAAAGCCAGAGATGACTTCTAATAAAGGATGAAAATAAATGACTATACAACAGTGCATGGTAATGTCAACCTATGACCTCACTGTAGTATTTAGCCTTCAACCTAATAAAACCACTCCAAAGTACTATATGTTTACAGGGAAAAAAAATAACATTTATTAGGCCCCTATGATTAAGAGAGAGAGTACAATGTAGGGTTCAGATTTCTATTGCAAAAAAAGCAAATTTATTGATTTTGAGCATGTTCACATTAGCAACAAAATACCACACAGAGAGGTTATACAAGCACATCTAAAAGCTACTCATGACATTCTTTGGGGAGGGTTTAACAGAGAATACCAGGTAATGAAAGAACTGCCTTGAAAAAATATTCACTTACTGACCAGTACCAACTTGACAGTAAAATCCTGCACTGAAAACTGCACGATTTCCAAAAGTTTTTGTTTTTTAGTTTTATAAAAAGGTGTTGCAATGTCTTTTAAAGGGTTATTAAACACTTGCATGTTTTTGTATATAGCTACTGCTAGCAAGCAGTAGATATATGCAAAATGATTAAAAAAACAAACTTTTTCAAAGGGTTAATACTTACCTGTGTCTCCGCTGCACGCTCCCTTCCGAACATCTTAAATATTCCTTTGGCGGCCGCAAAGGATCTTGGAGCAGGCGCAGTTCAGATGTTCGGCCGGGAGACTAGGAGAGACACAAGGTAAGTATATGGAGCAGCTTGCACCCGCACAGACTCCGTGGGACATGAGAGAAGAGGAGGACAGAGGAGTCAGTGCTGGATCGGAGACCAGCACCAGCGCTGGAGGGACAGCTAAAAACTACAGGAAAGAAGATCGGATTAAGAGGCATCATTTAAGGTAAGCCCTTACATTAGCACTGTGTGTGTGGTGGGGGGGAGGGTGGGGGCGGGACCTTTGCCCTTAATTTCACTTTAACCTTTTAAGTCACAGTTCTCATCTGTCCCTGTGCCGTTTCATAATGGCACCCATACTGAGCAACTCTGTCCAGCCTCTCATTGCAGTAGATCACGGCTAGAGATCTCTTGATAACTGTTGCTGCAAACCTGCATGGGAGAGTCTGGATTAGGTCTTCACTATATATACACTTATATATATTTTTATTTATTTATTTTTGCATGTACTACACAAGCATAAGTGAACGCAGCATCATTTGAATTTGTAGCCATCACAAAAGTGATTATTCTGCTAATTTGTGTCCTTGTCAACAAAACTTCATCTCATCTTAAAGTTACACTAACAATTTACGCATTTTGTTTCTACCTGAGTGTTCCGCTAAATAGCATTGAAAGGGTTTTGAATAAAGCTCTCCTAAAGCAAAATGTATATGTTGACGGAGTTTTACCATACCACTACAGCTATACCATTTTAATCAGCAGACTTTGTTGATTTTATTTTGGGATAAATATATGGAGGTTCCCAATTTATGTAACCACTGTGTTGGGAAAAATTACAGGAAAATGCATTTTCTAATCTTTTACTATGCATCCCAAATAAAGAAAAAAAAAAAAAAGGAAATAAAAATATTTGTAACCAAATTGAAGCCATATCTGTCCTGAAAAAAACAATGTATAACACACTTGGGTAGACTAAACACTAAATGTATAATGTGAGGAACCGAGACATTACCAAAATAAAATCTTTAGGACTCAAGGGGATTCAGGGAAAAAAAACAACGCCTTGAGACTCAAGTGGTTAATGAGAACATGTGCATTGCCCATGCAGGACCAAAGCTACAGGCTCACTTTATATTTACCTTTCCTTCGATCCTTTACTGCTCCATTCACCAAAGGAAGCAAAAGTGACATACCCCTACTTCTGGAAATGGGGAAGCATTTGCCAATGCTAGTGCATGGGGACTGGTTAATTAGGCACCAGCAGCCTGGTGATGGAGAAAGAGTATGAAACTTGGAGCTTACTTAGGGTTTTCTTCTTGCACACGTGGCCAAACAGAGTGGCAAGAGAGCAAAAGGAATGTAAATATAATTATCCTTATTATCCTTATCCTCCAGGCTAGAATCGAAATACAAAGTTGAAATACAAGTATGGTAAATGTTAAACCTGCAAAAAGATTTGCCATTATGCTTATTCTGGTCATCCAGACACCTTTTGTAGACAGCACACCTGTGTCTTTGACCTCCAATGCAATAGTAGTGCATAGTGGCCATGAACACACAGGCAGCCGGCTGACTAGACAAGGAAGAAGCAGCAGTATACTGATTATCACTTTGTTCTCTTCTCTTTCAGCAGGTTTACTGTCAGCACATGTTGGTGCAATACAGCATGAATGGCTCCTAGTGCTGGCCCTAACTCTCCCAGTTTTAAATGCTGCTATACAAGGGAGTAAGGGTTAATGTCAATGGGTGTTAGTCAAACACTGCATTTCCATTTGAATGCATGGCATTGCCTTTGAATGGAAAATGCAGCATCTGACAAGAGACAGCTGCATTTGACCTGCGTTGTCTTCAGTTCAAACACACCCTAACAGGACATGCTGCATCTAAAGAAACACAGTGCAACACAAAGCAAAGCAGGGCAAATGCAGTCTCTGAACTACTTCTCAATAAGATTTTTCTGACCTGCATTTGAAAACAACACCCATCAACATGAGCCCTAAAGGGAACGGATATCAAGACAAATTAAAACACCAACAATAGTAATGTTTATTAATTATTAATTGTCATTTTTACAACTGCCTGGAGCTCAGCTTTAAACATTATGCAACAGTTCATTTGATGACAATTATTGTACAATAACACTCAAAATACGGGTGTTTATTTTTGTTCTGTGGACATTTTAAACATTTGAGGATGTAAATTATTATGTCCACCAAAACACATAAAAACCTAACAAACCAAACATACGTCAAAAGGTAAAAGTGTGCGGGTAAAAATGTATTCTTCCTAATACATAATACCTCATATACCTTATAAGAACAGTTTGCACTTGACCTTAACAAAAAGGTAGCAAAACAAGATAATTTTAATACACTGCAAAAAATAAATAAAAAATCTTCTAATAAAATATCACCAGCTTTGGTCGGAGATCTTCCTTAATCAGTGAGGCTACACTTGCACCTCTGCCTTTTAGTTCACTGCAATGAAAAAAGTTCTGTTTGCTGAATTTCAGGTGTGGTTCTAGTAAAACTCAACATGCATACAATTGCAGTATATGAAGAACTCGTAGGAGTGAATGTAGCTTTCACTAATTCATTATTAAAAGTAAAAAGTAAATCTGTCTTTAGCGATGCAAGTTCATGTATAACATCATTAACAAACACAAGTGAAACTAATTGTATTAGCAGGCTGGATGAATTAGCAGACATTAGTCATGCACTGCTATATATTTACCTGTCTCGTCTTGAATTTAGCACTGAAGACTGTCCATTCACTAAGGAATGATGAGTTATTGGTGGTGATGCTTTGGAAGTGGTGGAGGAGGTAGTAGAAGAGGAATTGTTAGTAGTGAGGTCTAGCCCTCCATGTTTAATGCCATTGTCTTCCATACTGTGAACTCCAGTAACCTCTTTCCACAACTGCTGAATCTCCGCAGGGCTTAAACCAGCTACAAAATTAAACATTGCCTTAAAAACAATAAAGGCTAATTCTTTTTACAATAAATTGCATTGTATGCTGCACAATCAAAAAATTTAACACATCTTAACATTAGTCCTGAAACAATAAATGTTACATTTGTTTATATATGTTATTGCCATGATTAAAGTGCAACTTTAGGAATCATCTTTTGCCCACTAACATTGATGTAAGTATCCATATCTGGAGGGCCACTGGGGATGCTGCAAATCACTGCAGTAGTCTGTGCTACCTACAGTGATAGCCGTGCTCTTCCAGGTGCTGCTCTAGTGGCTTCCCCACTGCACCCTGAATACAGGGAGTTACTCGCTTGGCATTGCCACCATTCAGAGGCTGTTTTTTTATTGTTTTTCAGTGAATACAAGGAATTCTCTGACTGGATGAGGTGGATAACGTCACAATGTAGAGTGGCCATCCAGATATTAGTTATGAATCCTTACATCGAGCCAAGGTGGACCAATGTCGGTTTGCAAAAAAAGATCACTCCTGGAGTTTCACTTTAATCACTAACTGTTGTCAAAGAGTGTTTACTTAGCATACATGTATGCATGTATTTACGTATGAGAGGAGTCAAATTCCTGTACACATAACAAATGCATACGCACTGGTATTTAGCTACTACTTTTTTCATCAAGTAGTTTAAATGTCTGTAAAAAAATGAATTATAAATAAAGTGCCATTCTAACCTGCAAGATGCATATCCTAGGAAATGCTGCAATATCTACCCAAATTGTGCTATGCTGCATCTTTCCAATTTACATAATAATATATTTTGATATATTTGCCAATTTGGCATATTACTTATTTACTTAGGGCACCTGAGCTTACAACAGCCCTGAATGTTTGTGTATCACCATATTTTATATGGGATTATATGTCTATCCATATGAACAAATTTAACTTTGGCCATGTCTCAAGTAAAACAAAAAGCAAATATCATTCAGATCAGATTTCTCACTGCCCTGCTTTGTTGGACAGACATCTGCCAGTCATTTGGTCACCCTTGAATTTAATTGCATACAAGACTTTGAGCTTGGGCTAAAAGTGTATGACAATTTTAATTGTGGCCGATCTTACATAACAATAGCGGAAAAAATATATATGGTGGAATGAAAAAATGCCGGATGGTGAAGAAGCCATCTTACCTTGTGGTAGGGACTGGACTGGAAGAGCTGACTGGCTTGGCGGGATGGAAATGAGTCCCTGCCGTTGAAGATTGAGTAGATGTTGTTGTTGCTGCAGTTGCTGCATTTGAAGGAGCTGCTGCTGGAAGACAAGCTGTTGGGCTGCTAGCTGTTGCTGCTAACAAAAAATGATTAACAATTAAACATATATTCTGGTTTTTTTTCTAACCTTACATTCAAAATAAAAAAAGGAAAGTAAACCTGTCAAAACCTGAGCAGTTCAAACTCAACGTATAAAGCCACTAGATCCAGAGGTTACAGGCAGCTGAAGTCATATGCAAACCTTGCTTTTTCTGTAGAAATTGATCTTGGTCCCAACTATTTTCATCCCCCAACAAAAATGTTCCACCTTCAACAATCTCTATGGGCCTATTCAAGGGTAGCCTCAAAGACCAATACGGAGGCACAGGGAAGGATAGGGTATTGCCAAGCTGGACTATTTCTGAAAAAGCTGATATTTAGTTATACCTTTAGCTTCCTATATCTTTGGATGTACTGATTACTCTGTCGTGCAGTATTCACTGGAAGTAACCTCTGCTTATACGTTGTTTTCCATCATATGTTCAGCCTGGGTTTTTGAAAGGTTTACATTAAGAACTTAAATGAAATAAAAATATTACATTTTTATTCTGCCTAGTTCTATTTACTAATAAGTTCCATATGCTCCGAAAAAGTACATATCAAAATGCAGAGGTACAAATGTTAGATTAGATGGTTGTGGATAGGAGGTCAGACATGTTTAAATTAAAATCTTCAGTGAACTAAAAAAAAAACACAGAGACAAACTAAAAGTAGCACTCTAACTGTAAGCACTGTAACTGTTTCTAACTGTAGATGTGTCTTTCAAAGTATGAAAGTGTAATCTACAGCTGCCCAAGAATGTAGTCTCCAGTGATACATTAGTAAATTGGGATGTAGCCTTTATTCCAATATTCTTTTAGCTCTTTCTTTTCTCTTGTTTGGAATGCATTATACTAGTGCTGGATTCAAGGGAGAGAATTGCCCTATTATTAGAAAAAGTATAATTTCCAATTTTGTGAGGCATTACAAGACAAACCAGAGTTCTTGGGACTCCAGAGAATATAAGATAGCAGTCACACTTCACAAAGAGACAAGCTGCTGTAGAAGACCTTTCCTTTTTAGTTTGGGGAAAAGAGAAACTTCTGATGCACTCACTGGAAAACAGACTGCATAATGGAGCAAGTCATGTGGATTGCCCAAAGCCTCAAGAGAAATAAGGGAACAATTTCTATGCTGTAGTTGATGCCTGTCTGAAATTCTATTCACAAATCCAAACAGAAACAAAACCTCAGGAGGTCAGGACTGTTTCCTGTAGGTTTGCATAATGGGCAGCTTAAAGACAATGTCTACAATACCTGCTGATCAATTTAACTACTTCAACATGTTATATTTGCATTATGTTTATATGTGATGCATTCTGCCGACAAGTGCAGGATAGGCCTGAGAAGCCGGCTTGTCAGCTTGATTTATGAGCACATCAAACTGTAACTTTCTATTCGCCAGTCCAAATCTCCAGTAGCAGTTCATTAATCAGGGGCCCATGACTTTGAAATTTATGCTCAGCCATTTTTGAACAATAAGCCAACTTTGCATGCTTCTTGAACTGTATCATACAAAAAAAAACATCTTTCATTATATTTCACCAATTTTATAGTTGGGCGACAAAGTGATTTTTTTTTTCCAAAGGGAATCTTGGTACAATACAGCTGAATAAATTATATGGAAAAGTTATATGGCATTCATCTCCCTGCTTAACATTATTTTTTTTTATACATTTAAATGTGAAAGCTTTAACTACAGATTTGGGATTTGCAGAAACTTAAGGCAGTCTGCTGTGCTGGCTGGCAACCGTTCCACTATTCTCAAAGCCACTGTTTGTTAATTTATTCTTATTAAACAGGTGAATGAGTCATTTGCAGGGGTGTATAATTCTCAAATGTGTAGGGAGCAAGTATTTATAAGAAAAAAGTAAACAACCTAATATGGATGGTACGAATGAGCTTTCCTACTTTTTGCAATTTAGAGTTATGATGCCTAAATATTTTAGATGGCAGGGACATATAAATTAATATGCTAAACAATTAAAGGTTTTCCTCTTTCCAATATGCTCAAATGGATGTGCATATGCTATAGGCTTGCATTGCCTGTTAATCATGAACATAGCCTAATTTAGAACTGACAATATCGATTAGAAACTGGTCAAAATGTCCAATATAACAAACTCAGTCATTTCCCAGACAGTGGTGTCTCAAGGTTACTGGCCATGTTGCATATACCACTCAGGGACTGTAAAAATTGTCTGGAATATAAGAATTTGGACTTTAACTGGAGTTAACCCCTTCATGACTGAGGACCTTTTTTCATTTTTTGCACCCATGTTATATTCCCTATGTTATACCTCCCAACATTATATATTTTCTGAATGCCAAGACCCTATAGAATAAAATGGTGGTAGTTGAAAATTTTTATGTTGCGCAATATTAGCGCAACTCCTTATTAAACCCCAAAATTTAGTGACAAATTTAATTAAATGCCCCAAAACACAACAAATTACCCATTTTTTAAATGAAATATAAAAGATGAGGTTACAACGAGTAAAACGATACCCAACATGCCCAGTTTACAGATTGCGTGCGACCGTGAAACGGCGAAAAACTGCAGTACCCCAAAAAGTCAATAAAAGACGCTTTAAAAGCCCCACAGGTCATCAATTTAGAGATACCCCAAAATATTGCTCTCACTTATTATTGCTCTCACTCCGGCGTGCGCGGCGATACCCAACATGTGTAGCGCGTTCGTCGTTTTCATGCGTAGGCGCACCCGACGCGTGTTTACGTGGCGACGCGCGTGCTCGCGGGGGCGGGGTACTTTTAATTTTTTTTTTTATTATTATTAGATTTATTTTATTTCATTTTAATTTTAAAAACTGTTTTTTGTTTTTTTTTTACTTTACTTTGACTGCTATCACATGGGGGGGCTTGCAAGCCCCCCCATGTAATAGCAGATGGTGGTGACAGGTCCTCTTTAAGGTGATGCTGGGGGTCCAAAAGACCCTCAGTGTCACCTTTACACTGGAAATAAGCTATTGAAGTGCAGATCGCACTTCAATAGCTTATAGCTGGGCTGCAGGAGCCCAGAACTGACAGCCCAGGGACCGGAAGTGATGCAATCTGCATCGCTCCCGGTCCCATAGAACGGGGAGGGGATCGATGAACGGAAGTTCGTCGACCTCCTCCCCAGCTCCCCGCGGACACAAAGATCGCCGGTCCCGGGCCCGTAGGAGGGGCAACGGAGCCCGGGAAGCACGGCGGGGGTGTCCGGCGGGGGGGGGGGCCCCTTCTTCGGGACGCAGAAGCGATCTGGCGACAGGTAAGTCGCCAGGATCGCTTCTGTTGTAAAGCCGACAGTCGGCTCTACAAGTTTAAACAGACTCCCGGCGGCAAAAGTCGCCGGGAGTCTGTTTAAACAGCCCCGATGCTGGCGACGTACACTGTACGTCGTCAGTCACGAAGGGGTTAAACAACATATGTGTTTATTCTTTTATACTGCCATAAAACTACAGGTAATCAAAGGGGAATCTAAACAAATGCAGACCAACCTAAATATTTAAATGAAAGTTATCTGCACTATACAAGTCAAATGCTGCCTTAATGAAAGCTGCACTTTATGCAAATATGAAAACACAATTCAATACAGTTATATATTTTGTAACATTGTAAAATGTATTTGAATGCTGTTAATATAAGTACATACATTTACTTTATCTTAGCTGCCTGTAATTGCTGCAATACAGCACTTAAAGCTGCCTGTGGCCGTTTGCCAGGAGTTCAGCTTTAAAAATTATGGAATGCCAACAAGTAGACAGTACCATCTGAAATTAATACATTGGTAACAATGGCGATTTACACATAAAGAAAATTAAAACTTTTTTCACTGATTCATTATGCTGCCAGAAAAGATGACAAAAAGCATAATCAAACTAAAGGTGGCCATACACTCTACAACCATCGCAAGACTTTAGTCTTGCGATGGTTGTAAAGGGATTAAAAAAACGTACGATCTGCCTATCTTGGACAGGCAGATCGCACTCTCGATCATCGCAAGCCCGCCCCCCTGAGAGGCGGGCTTCCGATGACCGCAATGCTGAACGGGCAGTGTGCGCGTGCGCACACCGGCCCGTTCAGCATTTATCTTCCGAGCACCGTTCTAACCAGCCGAGAATCGTACGATTCCCGGCTGGTTTTCGAACATGCTGGTTCGACAGAAGACGTGCGACCGTACAGTAGAAACGGTCGCACGTCTCCGTTCACACTGCTCGATTATCGTACGAAAACCCGATCGCATACGATTATCGTACGATAATCGTGCAGTGTATGGGCACCTTTAGATTACAAAAACATCCTTTGGATCCTCTGTGATTGCTGATCCAGCAAACTAATTTTTATTGCGTTAGAAACCTTTTTTGGCACTTGAAATTATTTCAAGCATATACTGTTTACCACAGCAAGCATACGTTGTTATCTACCAACACCTCTCACGGAATCTGACTATTATTATTTTCACGCATTTCTCCCTGAGCCTTCTTAAAATGCATTTACAAGATCAAATTGTTATTTAATATCAATATCATAATGCATAAAGCACATTAGCCTTGAATTAACTCTGTTTGTTACAGGGTTTCACCATGACTTTTATACGATAGGTGGTTTTAGAAAACTTGACACTGTTGTCCTCTGTTTTTATTATTGTTGTAAAGGAATAAAAAACAGGTGGAAATTTGAATGCATTCATTTACGTCAGATGAGGAAAAAGAGAAAATTAAATAGAATGATGTGAAAAACAAAAGTGGGGGAAGCAGATTAAAAAAGAATCCCCGAGCTTTTCCTTTTGTATAGTGTATATAGATTACACTCTCTCTATTTGTAGACATGTGGGAGATATGGGAATGATAGCTGTGTATTTGTAGAGGAAGGGGTTTGCAGAATACTTTTCAAGCTAAAGGTTTAAGTGAATTAAAACAAATCTTATGCTAAAACTACACAAAAATAGATGGTCCTAATGAATAAACGTATCTGAAGGAAGAAATGCTAAGACTGTCTACAGCAGTCAGATCCATATTTTTCTAATGTTGCAACATTAAAAGGTTAATGCGGGTAACAAAAATAGTTATTTTTCAGATACTTTCATGCTTTAGTCACAAAATTATTAACATTATATAATGCTCACTCAAGAAAAATTAAATTAAAGGAAATAAGATTTGAGTATAATTTTTCCTAATCATTAGTGATCATACAAACCTCTTTTGCTTGTTTTCCTGGGTGTGTCGGTGGTGGTGGTTGTTGTTGTGTTTGTTGTTGTTGTTGCTGCTGTTGTTGCTGTTGCTGCTGCTGTTGTTGCTGCTGTTGCTGCTGCTGTTGCTGCTGCTGCTGTTGCTGCTGCTGTTGCTGCTGCTGCAAAAGCTGAAGATGTAACTGCTCTTGCTGCTTCTTGTAAAACTCTTGCAGTTGTTGCTGAATAAACCATTTTGACTTTAATAAATAAAGGCAAAAGTTGCATACATTACAAATTACCTAAGCTTTGCTACTCTGAACTGGTTGTTGAATCATCCCTAATAAAGATCTAAATAAAGAAAAAATACACACTTTAAAATGTGTGTCTCCTATGTTGCCTAAACACTTATGCATATAGTGCGTGCAAATTACAGCTGTGCTATCAATTATCAAGTGACATAAAACAGGAACAAGCCAGTAAACGCCTAAGGCCAAAAACAATTTACTGCTTCACACATTTTCTACTGTCAAGCTATCATATCCAAAAAGCATACAGTCAACAAACCAACAATGCCTTGTAGGTGTGCAAAATATACTAATAACTAAACACAAGTTTGGTAAAATATGTATATTCTTGTACATGTCTTTAGATATTTATCAGTAGTTGCTGCTTGATATTGAGGAGGAAACTGGCAATTAAATCTAGTTTTAAAGGTGGGATTTGTTTGTGTTACAAGGTATCAGTTTGACAATAAATATACAGTGACTGTATTCCAATACACTTCATTTGTTTTATCAGCATTAATTAGTTCCTCAAATTTTAATTTGGACATGTACATCCACAGGATAGAAATGTGAAATTCTCATAGGAGTTTGTGTGTTCCGGCCTATCTGCTTTTAATCAATTGAAAACCATTAGCCATTACCAAACAGGTTTTCAAGATGATCAACACCCAAAGGTGAGCACTAGTCTTCTGAAATTGCTCTATGCCCAGACATATTCAAATGGTCACATGAATGTTTTGGAATTTTTTAGAACATACAACTATTTATGGCCATGAATAGACACCTTTAGGACTAATCACACCAAATTAAGATGTGGAAATTAAAATCTGAAAAAAAAAATCTGAAATATGTCAGATAGCAAATGGGGTTATGCAGCTGGAGAGCAGTTGCAATCTTTCCAAAGGCATTGCAAAATGCTGATGTAGAGCAGTTTGGCAGTTCTAGCTAAATACCTGATGACCAACAATGGTGAAAGCGGAACAAGTCTAAAGATTTTCCACATTCTATCTGAAAGTGGAAAACCTTTTAAAACTCTTACAGCTAAACTTGTGTAACCTGTGTGAACTGAATAAAATGTAGTAACAATTGCCAGGCAACACCTCAATTTTCCAATTAAAATATGTTATACTATTACAATGTGACATATAAAAAAGTGCAAATCAGAGTTACTTGTTTTGCTCTACATGTCTAAACTGAGCTTTGGCCCAGGTTGTCTGTCCAAATTTAAGCAGAGCTCAAGAGATCAGTAATATCCCCATTACTCCAATACTGCTATTTACAATAGCATTTCAGTGTTTGGTTTAATTTTGTCAGCACAGATATATATTTTTTCATGTGTCACAGATACACCCGGTTCTGTAAGCTCATTGCAGGTAAAAATCCACTGACTTGTAGTTCAACCACTTGACTTTTTACTGCATATATATTCACTCCTCATAAATCTCTGCCACGGCACCTTCCTTTAACATAAAAAACAGATCTATTATTTTTCCACTTAATGCAAAGGGTTGGAAGTTTTTCCTATTTGCCTTCCCCTAACTATGACTAAAACAAGCAGTAACGTGTTATACATCATAAAACAACAATCTTCTGCAACTCACTTTGACACTTTGTATGCTTTGACAAGTCTAGAAATGTAATGTTCTGTTTCAGATGACAATGTAAACAATCACCTGACAGCATATTATTTTTCTACGTGTGATATACACTGCTATAAAAGGTGAAGATGAGATAAACATGACAGAGAGCTTATGCAATCCTAACATTCAAACACCCAGGAAAAATTAACTGTTGAGGGAAGGTAACCAACATTACCTGCTGTAACATAACGGCTTGCTGCTGCTGGAGGAGTGCCTGGAGCTGCTGCGGAGACAGTACTTGCTGCTGAAGTATCTGTTGCATTTGCTGAGGGGTGATCACCTGGGGAGTCATCATGGCCACTGAAACAGGCACCTGCCATAAAGAAAAAGAAACATCACAGCTAAGCTGAGTTGAAAGGCATTGATTGCTTATGACTGCAATGATTTCATTGACATTGATTATACTCTTCGCTGCTGCTCAGCTTCAGTGTATGTATATGTCATGCTCCGACAGGAAGATACTTATTCTACATAATTATTAGACAGCAGTTTAAAAAGGTTGTGGAGTGTATTCATTTTCTCAGACTGTCTCAATAATGCTTTAGAAGCTGAGCAGGAGACCATTACCCTGCTGTACTGCTGAACTACAGGGCAAAACTCCCTATTTGTATGTGAGAAACAATCGGCACAGACATTTGATTTACATGCTTTAAACACAGGCAGCATTTTTGGGTATAACTAAAAGCAAGAACAGGAAGAAAGCCTTTCTGATACATAACCAGGACACTGGGCTTGAATCATTAAGCTACAATACATGACAATCTTGCTTGATTCATTAAAGAGGGAGACATTGCAGGGCATTTTTACTTCCTGGAATTTTTCTCTTGCAATGGGGTGTGCAAGTGTAATGTTGGGAGTTAATGTCCTATGAGCTTTTCACTTGTTCGCTTACTCAGCCTGGCAGCTCTTTCAATTTATAGGACCACTGTTAGAATTAAAATATACAGAAAGAAATCATAGAATTAAAATATACAGAAAGAAATCAACATGTACACCCCATTCTCAACAAACCTCTCAGCATGACAACCCTCTCAAAGCACCAGTGCCTCATGCTGATAGCCACTTCTTCTGCTCCAACAATGCCAAGAAGGTGATACCATCATAGGGAAAATGTTTGGGCCTTGTGAAAGACAGCTAGCTTGTAACCATCTGCCCATATTTTTCTGCACACTTAAACTCTTTCCCTTGTCAAGGAAAACATCAGTACCCTATCTAATGGCTTGGTACACAGGCAAGTGGTTTTAGGAAGAAGAGCAGCTTGGAGCAGGGCATACAACAAAGATGACCCCAGAATTAATTTTTTTACAGCAAAATAAACATTATTAACCAATCAAGGGGGGATATCATTTTCTAAAACTGTTTTGTGCTGTGGGCAAGGAATCTGAAGGAACTTATTTGCATAATAGAGTAGGGATCACAACAAACTACACACCAATGGAGGCAAGTTGGTTGCACACAACCATCCAATGCCAGTAACCTTTCCCCACACTGGAGCTGCCCAGTGCCCTTCAGCATCTGAGTGAATAATGCTTTGAGAGGGGACCCTCAATTGTGGGGACCCCTTCCAGAACACCACACCAAGGAATTTAGGTGGGCATCATAATGGTGAGAAAGTGGAGTGTATGCTGCCAATTCACCAGCCTAAAGGATTTCAGTCTGTTTGCTTAATGAGTAGAATGAGGGAGGCGCTTGTAATTACTCATCAAATCGAAAGGGGTTGGTCTCTTTTTCAGATGATGAACCTTGGAATTAGGTATGGGGCTCAAAGACAGTATTGCATGTTTGCCGCAATCACACATTCTCATTTATGGAATCTCATCAGCTTTATTAGAAGCAATTATATTACCAATACAGCACAAATCAACACCCTCAGAGGAAACACACTCCCTATTACATAGGAAGCCACAATAAATAGAAACATTGTTAGCTCTAGAATGATCGTTTTCTTAATAGTCTTTTTAAAAATTGAACTGTTCTTATACTTAAGAGGAAAAAGGCAACTTGAATTTATTAGAAGCAATAGTTTAGAACCTTAGTGCAGATCCGCTACCTCATTGCTTGTCACCTCAGGTACTTAGGGTCCATTCACACCATAGGCATTGGGGTGTATTCCTCAAAGCATAGCAAAACGCATAGCACTCAAAAAACAATTTAATTCAATGAGGTCAGTTCACACAAGCAAAATGCTTGGCACTCAGCTGCGCTGTAAAAAAGTAGAGCTCATTAACATGCAGAAAAAAAAGTATATGATAGAAATAGAAGGCTCTGACCTCACAGGAAATGGAAAAAACAAATGCTGTGCAAAGCGTGTCCAGTGTGTTACAACACGTGCTGCAAACTCAGTGCAACGCAACTGCTTTAGCATATGCGATATGGTGTGAACAAACCCTTAAATTCTCCCAAAATTTCTGCTCAGATATATTACTATGACTATTGCTGACCACAGGGATACTCAAAAGGCTTTAAAAATATCTACCCATATACAGACTTTTCATAGCACTGTAAAACTGTTTAGAAAAATATTTCTTCATAAATATCTAAATACCGCTACAAAATGGTCGAGATAGAGGCAGCAACTCCTTTGCTAAAATCAATGATTGCCACATTAATTTTAAATACAGTGCATTTATACACATTTATCAAACTATAGACAGGACATTAATTACCAACCATTAATAGAATAGTAAAAATATATCCTATCCGTTAAGGTAATTTAGTCACCCTGATGTAAATGTTTGGTTAAAAAGCACAGAAGACAACATTTTATTTGTAGTTAAAACAAATGCATAAAGTAGAAAATAAAATGCAAACAGCTATAAATCTCTTGAACACGAATATAAATTAATAAACCTCAAAATATATTCACATTTTAAGCCTGCACTATACATTTATTAAAGGATAAAAGTGTTAAAGACATAGCTTACATTTGCAGTGATCCACAGATGCTGAGATCTTGTACAAACATTATGTCATTATTTCAGAAATGCATTGAAAGCCTTGTTAACGTATGATAGCTGATTTACGTAAAAAGATAAATGTGATATAATAATAAGCTGAACTTACAGTTAAATGCCTAGTGATGCTTAAGCATTCTGTTGCCAAAAATGAAGCATCTGTTTACAGCACTGTGTGTTCTAATCCAACTCAGATAAGAGGAATACAGCAGTGAGCTGGACAAATCTGTTCCGGTTATTTATGAAAGGCAGAACAGCTCTCCTCATATGACAAGTGGAGAAACAAGCAAGACTCCTTGGATGCAGCTACTATGACCTTTACTAATTAGAGTTAAAAACTATGGTCATCAAAGCACATGCACATCTATCGAAAGTCAGCAAAAATGTGATATCCCTTGATTTATGTTGATATTAATACAGTAACAAACAAATAATAATAATAAAACAGGCAGCAAAAAAATTAAAAAAACCTAAACAATAATCAAACATGTATAAATATTTAAAGGCTTAGGCCACATTCACACCAGATGCTAACGCAAGGACATCAGAACATTAATCGGACCAGTTTACACTGCTGCCACCCGTTCCGTTGCAGTGCCATGAAAAAAAGTAGAGCATGCATGGAACAAAAACAAATGTAATCACAATGCAACGCAATGAAATGAATGTAAGAAAAAAAAAATACGGAGATATTTTTCCACTCAGGACATGCTCATTAAAATAAAGATTGGCAAAAAACAGAAAAAGAAATAAAAGAAATGCAACAGAAGTCAATGGAGGTCCTCCGTTAACTTGCGATTTCCTTCCGTTTTTGGTGTGAATAAAGCAAACAGCACATGGTAGTTTCATCAGATGTTAGATTTCTGTATTTATGAGTGACATCCACTTGTTGGCACTAGCCAGTGATATATAATAATGTCAACAGTCTGTATCTCTACTGGTAGTTGTATGTTATAGAAAAGTATAAAAGCTATGTAATGGTTTACCGAAAATAATAAAAAAAAACAACAGGTTGGCAGTACATCATTTATCATGTATCACTTAAATACATAGAGAACAGCTTTTGATAACGCAAGTCTTTTCCAGCACACTATGACACGTGTTACTAAACCTTATAAGCTTGCATTTTAACCTTATATTTTTATTTTTTTTTGCCATACTCCATCTATTTTATTTATAGGCGCATATAAAGAACTAAGTAAGTATGTTGGCAAAAAAGTTCTACTTTTTTACATTTACTTTGTCTCTCACATGCCTTTCGGGGAACTCCAAACTGGATCTACCATATAGGCTGATGCTTAGGAGGGGGCCAAAAATAATTAATTCTTACCACATAACTGGGAATGCTATTAACTAAAGCCACCTTCACTTTATTTTGCATAAGTATATGCCCCTCTAGACTTTTTCACAGTTTGTAGAGTTATGATATGGAGTTAATATGGAATAAATAGGTGTTTCACCATTTAATTATCACGACACATATAAAAAGTCTGCTCATGTAAAAGTAATATGTAGGTAGTGCTTGGTGGGATGAGCCAACCCCTTGCTTATGTGTCTTTAATATTGCACCATTGATATCTCTTTACCATAATTCCAAGCTGTGTTTGTGCCTGGTAGCTTTGGGTGCTCAAAGCTAACATGGAGCATGGGGCCCATTATAATGGACACAGCAGGTTTGTTGCGAGATCTCAACAACAGAGCTCTAAAAATTATTGTTCTTAACAAATATAAGAAAATTTCGGGTTACTTAACTATACTTGCCCATGGACTTCCCTTGGACAATTTTATGTGAAATGTTTGCATTTGTGTATTTTTTATTTCAAGTAAAAAAAAAAAAGAGAACCGGCCTGTGTAAGTATTCACACTCTCCTCCCATCCACTTACCTGAAGTAAATTCATATAAGACCAGCTTTACTGCAAGTCTTTGAAGTAAGTCTTTCCTAGCTTTAAACATGTGGATCCTGTGATGTTTGGCCATTATTTTTAGAAAAAAATTATCTGGCTTTGTCTGGGTGGATGGGGACTATCGCTGAACTGCATTTGTTAAGTCTTACCACAGATCTTCTTTTAGCTTAGTTTGGGCCATTCTAAAGCTGGCCATACACCTATTATCGTTAGATTTTTTCGTGCTGTCATCGATCCCTCGTTCGAATACCCCATCATGCACAGATCAATATTGTTTCAGTAATCATTTGTTAGCAATACTATCTCACTCAATTTCGTCGGTCGGCAGAACAGATTTCCGTTTGCGCATGTGCAGTGTTCCTGTTGTGATTTTTTGTTTCGGATGAAAACGCCGCTAATATATTGATTTTTGTTTGATTCGAAAAAAGTTTTCCAGCCTGACCGATCTAGAAAA